ATGATATTATAAGGAAGCCTAAGGAAGGGTGTTTGTAGATAGTTAGGCTTCCATTTTCCCCGTTATTCCAAAGGATACACCCTACACCAAGACCCAAACCGCTGAACCCTAATGATGCTTAGGGGCTGACTACCCTCGCCCAAAAGGTAAACCTAAGTATGCTAGGGTTATGTGCAAACACCAACGGCTGGCTTAAAGGCTGCCTAGTCAGCTACTAGGACAGGGTCATAGGTGGTCAACTACCGGTTATAGGCACCTGACCCGTTTAAAACAAGTTATTATTGTATACATGCCTAAACGTACAGACAACATGTAGACCCTCCCTGATTCAGATTCATAGCCACTTACAGCGACTATCCGATGTATCTGCCCTTAGCGAAGAGGGGCCTGTCAATCACAGGGACTTACAAAACCCACGCTACACCCTGGAAGCCGGAAACCCCAGGTGTTCCAATCTGTGGGACATAAAGATTAGAGCAGGTTCTTGGGGGTGATCTTGTACTACGACTATATAGGGCACATAGGGGCTATAAGAAAATACTGCAACCAATTACCCCGACCCCTTCTAGCCAACCATGAATTCCAGCCTGGTTAACTTGTCTCAGTGCCACGGCAAGGCAGCGCAACGCTGCTGCAGTTGAAAGAGGCCTTACTCAGCTTGAGGCGATAAGCGTTACGTGTAGCAAAAAGACCTGCCCTTTTACGGGGACACACAAGGAAACCATAATGTAGGGGCCTTCAAAAATTAGAATAGGGTTTTGGGGGGCTCCTTATTATAATTATGGTATAGTATGCCGCAAACCCTATTCTAATTATTCAGGTCCCTATATTAATTTCATAAGGAACCCCAAACATGTGGGTATTTTAGGCTAAGAGTTTCGGGATTGAGGGCTCCAGGTTCTAGAGCTGTTCGGGCCTTTATGGGGAGAGTTCAAGCATTCAGGGTTTGGGGTTTCGGGTTTAGGAGAGTTCACGCATTTCGGGGCGTTCGCTAAAAAGTTCTTAGAACTTTAATTAGGATGTAGGAATGCAGGTCTTCGGGTGTAGGGGTTTAGGGTTTAGGGTTCAGGGTTTAGGGTCTAGGGTTTAGGTAGGGGTCTAGGGCCTAGGGCATCACGGGCCTTAGATTCATCTTGGCATGCCATCCCACGTCTCTTTGCCTTGCATTGCCTGGCCATAGTCTAAGAGTTAGTGTACTTATAAAGTATATACTGGGCTGAGGCTTGAGGGGGGGTTAGGGGGCCAGGCTTTATTGGGTTGGGGGGTCTAGGGTTGAAGTGGTCTCGGCTTGTAATATACTTTGTCTGACTCTCTATACCATAGTACATTCCCCATTTAAGATGGTCTTGATGTCATCCGAGCTTAACTACCGCTTCTATGCTAGAAATGATTTGAAGGGCATGTAACAGTAACCCGAGGATATCTTTACAAGACGTGCTGCGGAACCATGTAAGCAAGCTTTGTTGCTGATGCAACAGGAAGAATGCTGGCAATGTGTTCTAAAACTTGTGTGTTCTAAAACTTGCAATAGTCAATAGTGCTTCATGAAGGTTGATGGGGTTTCGTGGGGATTAATTACAAAGGGGTGCTTTGCAAACCACACCTCAAGTTGTCAACGCGAATTGAGGATTTTCGAGTCCGTTTGGGGTTTAGGGTTGAGAGTCTTTTTCCCTACCTATAGTCTCCATGGTAGTTCCTTTGGTTGGTTTAACCAAATACATATTAAGGATTTTATAAGGTATCCCGAAAACCGGAACTACAATGGAGCCTATAGGTGAACCCTAAACCCTAAACCCTTTTGGGTTGGGGCTGAACGACATCCGGGCTTCGCTTGAGCTAGTTGTAGGGTTTTAGGGTGCCTGTAAACTAGACCTGCAGACAATACTAGATCGCGCGTTCTGACCCCAAACCCTAAACCCTACATGGGGGTGTTAGAATACGGTTTGGGGGTATACTATATTATATTAGAGTTATAGTAAAGAACCCCCAAAACCTCTTCTAATTCTTAAGGCCCCTACATTACTCCATAGCCCTAAATCTTCGGCCCAAGCCCTTAAACCCCAAAGCAGCAACTCCAAACCTCAAATTCTAATCTAAGTGGTTTGATGATGGTGTAGGGGTCATGTCGCAATGCGTCAAACTATGGAAGCCCATGCGATGCCTCATGAGCAGGCTGCAACCTTCATACCTTCATGCCCCAAATGCGAAACCTGCAAACCAAGCTCCTGAAAACCCCCATCCTGCACCATAACTATAGTCTCCATTGTAGTTCCTTTTTTTGGTTTAACCAGATACATATATATATATATATATGTATTAATATATTTCTTTAGGATTTTATATGGTATCCCCAAAAAGGAACTACAATGGAGACTAGAGGCAAGAACTACCTTGGCACAGGTACAACTACCACCAGAAGGTTCGAGCAGCATCATATAATCTTGGAGCCTTATACTGGGAATGAGAAGATTAGGGTTTTGGGGCATGCTAAACAACGATTATATAAGGATTTTTTGGGAAAGAAGTAACAAGGATTCCGACCGCCACATTATCCCGATGCCCCTAACATAAAGCATGGGGAACCCTGCTACACTTGCCAGCGTTCACAATAAGCCAAGGCAGATGCGTGTCGCCCTCCTTCACCGCCTGCTCGTAAGCTTTTGTTCCAACCTGCATGAGGATAGATGGCGCTTACGGCTTCGGATTTCGGGTTTAGGCTGTAGGTCACGGGTTTGGGGTACTCAAGGAATCGTCGGAATTGGATTAAAGAACATAGCAGCACCACACAATCGGGAATGCCAGCGACGTACACTCCCAACAACGGAAAGGACGACCGCACAGTCCTTTTTTGAGGCCGTAAGCACCCTTTTTTGGCAGCGGCATGCTGAATTCGGGCGTTCTCCAAGTGCAACGGTGGGTCGAGAGATAAGGCGCCCTACTTCAGAGCTTGAAAAGTTAGGTCCCGCAGACCACACTCCGCATGGTTTTAGTTTTTGGCCCTACAGCCTGAACCCTTAAACCAGATCCTCCACCCTGAACTCCCGCTTCAGACATCATCTGACGTAGTAAGGCGAACACACTTAAGGTGATAATTGGCCTGATCGGCTGTATATTATATACTCTGCTTCAAGAGAGTCGGTTCCAATC